GCGGGCTTGTTTTCGCTCTGCTGGCTAATTAAACAATCCCTGATTGCAATAGAACTGGCACGGCAGCCAAAGCCCGGCCGCAGTTGTGTTCCCATCTCCCGCCCCAGCTGTTAAATATTAACCAGGCACGGAATGGAGGGTTTGGAACTTCATACAAAAGGTTTTAATTAGGGCTTGGCCCCCAAACCTGCCCTCCAGATCCAAGGAGCCTCCTGCCCTCCTCCTCCTCAGCCTGCTCCCAGGCTGGACCCAGGGGCTCCACATTTCTCCCATCAGGAGCTGCCCCTCTGTCCAGAGCCCACCGAGATCCTGGCAGAGCTGATGGAGTCCAGCTTGGCTTGATTTTTATCATTATTATACAATCCCACACTGGTTTGAGTTGGAAGGGACCTTAAAGCCCATCCCATTCACCTCCTGCCACAAACAGGGATGCTTTCCATCATCCCAGGTGCCTCCAACCCCAATGTCCAGCCTGGCCTTGGGCACTGCCAGGGATCCAGGGGCAGCCACAGCTTCTCTGGGCACCCTGTGCCAGGGTCTCTCCACGCTCACAGGAAGAATTTCTTCCTAATAACCGGTGTAACTCTGCCCTCTGCCAGCGTGCAGCCATTGCCCCTTGTCCTGGCAGGGCAGGTGCCAAAGTTTTGGCAAAACAAACAGCATTTTCCACATTTTCTGTGCCTGGACATGGTTATGGCAGCTCCTGGGAAACACAAGAGCACAGAGCAGCCCCTCGCTGGAGCAGCCCTGGTCCCCAGGCCTGGGGTCACACACTGCCCTGTCCCTCTCCTCCAGAGCTGCCCATCCCAACCTGGAAAATCCCCCAAAGCCCCCAAAAAGGGAGCTCAGATGGACCCTGCTCCACCACCACCGCTGGGCCCGGCAGCCCCATCCCTCTCCCCCTGCTCTGCACCCTCCAAGAGAAGGGAAATCCCAAGGGAACACCCAGGGCAGCTCCAACGCTGGTTACAAGGGTTTAACCTGATCCTAAAAGTGAGTTCATAACCAGGATCATCACCACAGATCTGTCCCCCTCCCTTCCCACCCTTCTCTGTCAGTTTGCACATCCCTAACCCATGGATTCACCCCATGGCACAGAGCCCCTGCTCCTCCAGCTCCAGGCCCTGCTCAGACCCCTCTGCACTGCAACAAAAACCCAAACACCCCAAAAGATCCCATGCCATGATGGCCCTGGGGGTGATGTCCTTAGAAGCCACGATTTTGTCATCCATGCAATGGCTGAATCCATCCAGGAACTGACCCTGCCCGGCCTGGGCAACCTGGGCTAACACCAAAGTAACACTAAAATAACATTAAAATAACAGTAAAATAACAGTAAAATAACAGTAAAATAACACAAAAATAACACAGGGATGAATTTGTTGGTGCTGCCCAATTATTACCCATTTTCCAGGCCCGGGAATGGCCAGCACTGGGCATGGAGAGCCAATGTCCTGCCAAACCGACAAGCTGAGCAGCAAAAGCCCTTTCTAGGCACAACAAACAGCTATGAATTATTGCAATTATTAATGTTTTTGTTGCTCTGAACACCAAATATCGATGTGCCACTGTGCCAGAGGCTGCTGAGCCATGCAAAATGGAACTTTCCAGGGAGAACAAACAGCCTGTGTCCCCTGGGCTCCTTGGGATGGTGACAGTGGTGTCACCTCCAGCCCAGGACCTCCAACCACCAGAAGGTGGCTTGACCACCTCTTCCTCCTCACAACTTTCTTTGAAATGATGTTGGATCAAAACCTCTCTGAGCCCCATTTACTGCTACAGCMCAGAAAATTAAACCATTAGAATGGAGGCTGAAAACCTCGGGCTCGTTCCCTCTGGAAGAAAATCTCATTAAGTCTCATTCACTCTATTTCATAAAAACATCATTTAACCGAGTGGTTTTCTCCAAATCCCGTTGTGCAAGAACGCTGCCCTGGGAGAGCAACCCAGAAACACAGACAGGCTCTTAATTCCCCAAATTGCTGGGGAAGAAGAGCAGCCCACCCAAACCTCTGCCTAACCCAGCATCCCCTCGGTGCCAGCCACCAGAAAGGGACAAACTTTGGGGACAAACTCAGAGCAGGGTGAGCTTTTGGGGCTGTGGAGCAGCCCAGAGTGGTGCTGGCCCCATTCCTGTCCCCTGTGTCCACTCAGGAGTCTCTTTCCTCCTCCTGCCAACGGGAAGAGCCGCGGATTTGAAAGCGATGTGATGAACTAGGCAGGCGGTGGCAGGCACAGGAAGGTCTTCCAGAGTTTTCTTCATCTTTCTCAGCTTCTGGAAGTCCTTGTTCGCGGATCTACAGGGAATCTCTGTGTTCAGGTAGCAGCTGCAGTCATCAAGAAAGCAGAGGATCTTTGAATTTCCTTCTGATTTTCCGGTCTAAACTYGAATCTGAATTCCCAGGTTGAACAGAGGGGGAAATTAACTATTTCTATTTTATTTGTTAGCCTTTCTGCATCTGAGATGAAAACCCRGTTAAATGAGGGAGAAAACGAGCGCACAAAGCTGTTTAAAGCCATGTCCTCCAGCCGTGCTCAGCCCTCCTGGTGCCCAGCAAAGGCCAGACACAGCCTGTCCCCTCCTCTCTGCCTGCTGCTGTGTGTCATGTTCACAGGCAGCAAAGAAGCTTGAAGTCAGATTGTGGCACCAAAAAGGAATAATTTTAGATTAAAAGAATCAGTTCACAGCGAAGCTGCACAATAAAGAGAA